CAATTTGTCTAGGAAAATATTATAGAAACCTTATAGAGAGGTTCCATTTAAGCCGGTAAGGAGATTTGGCAGGAGAAGAAAAATGGAATGACTTCTAAAATCTTAAGTATTATTACTATCCTCTTTGCATTGATTTTCTCCAGGAAAGCTAACTGGTTGTCTCAGAATCCAATTCATTCAACTTAATACAAAATGTTTAGTTAATGTAAGAAACTACTATCTATTGTTAGGATACATATATAAAAATAAAATCTTGCATTTCAAAGAAACATATCAAAACAAATTTATTCTATTTACTACCAATTTGTATGTGAACTCAACATTCAAGACCTGATATATCTATAATAAAAAAGTAATATTTTACAATACAGTAGGTGTATTAGTGTGGGCTCTCATCTTCCATAACTGCAAACTGGGTGGCTTAAACAATAGAAATTTATTTTGTTACAGTTCTGGAGACTAGAAGTCCAAAATCAAGGTGCTAGCGGAGTTGGTGTCTGGTGAGCGCGCTTCTCTTGGGTGGCAGATGGCCGCCTTCTCACATGGCTTTTCCTCAGTGTGCGCCCAGGAAGAGAGTAGAAGCCAGTGTCTCTCCCTCTTTCTTAAGGACATCAATCCTATCAGACCTGGGCACCACTATCATGACCTCATGTAACCCCAATTACCTCCCAAAGGCCCCATTTCCAAATACCATTACACTGGGGATTATGGCTTCACCATATGAATTTGGGGCACACAAACATTCAGTCTGTAACAGTAGGTGAAGGAATATTTTAGTAAGTCTATTAATAAATAAGAAAGTTGAGATACCATCTATACCCTGAAGAACAAGGACTCTTTCTACTGAGAAACAGAAGTGTATTTGGGCACATCTATTAGTAAAGCTTGATTCAAAACATTGTCAAGTTTAAAATCTTAGACTACAGTATTATTTTCAAAATCAATTTTCCTGTAATTGTTTTGTGACTCAGGTTATCCAATTTATGACAATAAAATACCAAAACAAAATCATCTGGGTAATACTATTGTGATACATCTCAGGTTTTTATATCCAGGCTTTAATTTAAAAATTTAAACTGTATGTATGAACATTTTTGATAGGCAAACCTAGCAATAATTTTAAATTTGTTAATGAAAATTTTAAATGACCTTCAGTTTTAGTTACTGTAAAAAAAACTCTACATGTTTCAATGGTGCTTTTAGAAATTATGAAATTATATATTATAGCCTCACATATGATAGTGGGATACAGCTATATCCTCTAGTCTTAATTATAGAAGAGTATAGACAACTGTAAAGCTTAGCTTTATTGTTTTATAAATGAACCAGTAAAGTTCATTTTAGTAAAATGAGCACGCGCTTTTCATAAATTAAAATAAATCTCACATGGTAAAGTACCCATTTTCAAAATTAATTTAATTACATGTTTAAAGTTTAATTACATTTAATTAAGCATTTAAGTTTAATATGAAATAAATGAATTATCAGTTAACTACTATGAAATGAAATACTGCCTTGATAATTAAAATCTATAAATTTTCCTATTCTGTGCAAAACTGTTAGCTCTCAAAAGATATTCTGAAAAAAATTATTTTAAAGACTATAGGACTATATTCTCACAGCTGATCAAGGAGTCGTTTTTCTCCCATCTAGCTTCATGGTCCATGCTTGCACTGCAGCAGTAATTGGAGACACCCGGTACAGAAAAGACAGCAGAGGTTTTGGGGACTTGGGTTTGAGTGTCAGCTCAGTCACTTACAGCCTACAATAGAGGGAAAGCTACTTATCGTTCGTGACCTCCAGCTTCCTATAAAATTGGGATAATATTGCTTTTCTTGGAGAGTTGTTGGAAGAATTAAATTAGATATCCTATGGTTAAATGCCTGGAATAGTGCCTGACATGGAACAGGTATTTGACTTCAGTTGTTGAATGAATGAATAAAAACCTGTACTTTTTGTCTTAAAAAAATTTTTATCCTTAAAAAAATATTTTTTTAATCACAAAAGTATCACCATATTATTTTTCATGTATTTACATCATGCTTATTGTACATTTTACATTTTTTATTCTCTAAGCACTCCATGAATAGAGGCAGTATAGCATCATTGTTGACACAAATTTCTGAGTCATAAAGAACTGACTTTGAGTCTGGGTTCCACATTTACTATTTATGAAATCATGGAAAAGTTATTTTGACTTATTTCCCAAGTGTGTATGTATATGTATGTCTGGTTCAGTAAATGGCAAAAAATAAGAACTATTATAATCAATATAATCATTCTAAGTTAACAAAAATATTAGCGATGTAGGTAGGACAAGTGGCATTGCCCCTCCCTCAATTTTTCATACGGGGATATTTATTTTCAAGGACTTTAAGAAAATTGCCCAGTAGGTTACCAGTAGGATGAACTCAGTATCACAACCCAGATTTTTAAAATTTCTTTTGTCAGTATGCTTTCTTCCATAACACAGGAAGGTAAAGGTGAAGGACATGAAAATCTTGTAATGCAAAAAGAAAAAGAGAGAGATGTGATTTAGGTTAATCCTGACTCTACCACTTAAGAGTTGAGCCTCGGATAAAGCACTTCTGTGAATTTCAGTATCTTCTGGAAAATGGGAATATTTACTTTTGTAGCAAAGATAACAAAAGTAAAGTATGTAGTAGAGTGACTGACACATAGTAGTCATTCATTAATAGTAACAATTAGTATACTAAGACAACATCAAAGCAAGTTTGTAGCCGATACCATAATGAAGTGAAGAATGTTTTTTTTGAAACATTTTGTAAAAATAAATAGGATACTCTTCACTAAATTCTTCGGTAATATTTCTGGAAAACTGTAGATTTTTAAGTCATTTCAGTTCATTTAATAACATCTCACTTTGAAAATAATGGTTTTACAGTGCAAAAGAAAATAAAGGCAACGACATATTCCATGGATTACCTTCCCCTGATCTGACTGCAGTAAGAATTACAATTGAATATTCTTAACACTTTTATAAATTATTCAATGTCACGTACTGTAATTTTTAGAGTTTCACCTTAAAGTGAGTAGCACTATAAACACATGTTGGTTTAATACTTGAAACTCTTCATCGTAAAGCTCAAATCCTAAATTCTCTTAAGTCATCTAAAAAATATAGGTTGTTTTATTTATAGTAGAACTAGATATAGAAACCCATAATAAATAAAATATTGGAAAACATGTACTTGCTTACTTTTTGAAAGGGCTCTTATTGAACAACATGGAGAAATAGCATTACTTTATACCATTTTCACTGCTGCTGTTATTAATAAGTAATATTTAGGTGTTTTTTTGCGTTTATGCCTGAAAGACCCAGATTTAGAACTATTCCACATTTTCTTGAAAATAAAAACAGCAGGTATTGTAAATTTGGTATCCAGGCTTTTTGTAAATTGCAAAATAAGAGTAATATAGCATGTTCAACAGTTTACAAGACCAGGAAAAGAATATCATACATAAGGAAATAATATGAGACATATGCACAATTAAGGTTACATATTATGCAGAAACTAACATTTATTATTAAGATGTGTACTTTTGATATGCATTCTTTCAAAGAGTGTGGTAAAAATGCATTCTATTAATCTTTGAAATCAGAATTGAGACATTAACTTACCAGGATTCTACATTAAGAGTTGAAGATATTTTTTCTGGAAGAAAAAATCCATGACATTTTGAAGCATCAAGTAGTTCTTGTGGTATCTTTTTTGAAGAATCATAATAATGACCAAATCTTGAAGATGATACTGGTCCAGCCTGTTAAGAAAATCCATATTCATTGTAAAAAAAAAATAGCTTTTTTTAAAAAAAATTACAATTTATTTGTCCTACCCTCAGCAACACTCATATATTCATATATTTTTATGGTAATAAGAGCTGATATATGGACATTAAATTTCGAAGAAACATACAACAATATTTCTTATTTTAAACTACATAGTTAGAAATCGACCTTTTTATCTCCCATGTTTCTTTACTCCTGGTGGTTCCCTAAGTTTGATAAGAATTTAAACATACCTTTGGCTTCTTTACTATACTGTATACCTTCTAAGTTCAAAAATTTAATATATATGTCTCAATTATTTAAAAATTCTAGGTTTTAATAACATACTAAATATGTAGTCGCTAAGAACCAATGAAAACTTAAGCCAAATTAATTCACTGGTGAGGGGCCCAAAAGAAATTAGCTATTTAAATATATTAAACTGAGTATCATTTTAAAACTAAATTCTCACAAGACAGTGTGTGTGTGTGTGTGTGTGTGTGTGTGTGTGTTCAACATTTCTTATAAACTTAATATTAAACTTATAGTATAAAATGTATTAGGGTACTCCAAATGGGAACAAAGCACATGTAAAGTGAGAGAATATATATAAGCTACATTAGATAAAACAGAAATTTGTCATAATCATTAGTTCATCAACAATTCCTCTTTTGTGCCCTCTACTAACAATTTCTTCGACAAATTACCTTTCTCTTAAGACACTCAAATCTCTACTGATGCTGAATTTATTTACATAGGATAGTAAAATCCTAGTAATATAATATTACTCTTATATGTTTTGAATAAACTCTGGGCTGATTTCTTTTATTCGGCACATTAGAAATATATATGTACCTCTATCCAAAGCTGAATTACTATGAGATTCCACCTGGCAATAGTTTCTATTGAAATCTCTGATCTAAATTTACATAATTTCAACTGTCCTGAATGTTACAAAAGAGACAAGTTTCAGAACATTTCACAAAACTATAATCTCAACAGAAATTGAAGAACTATACACAATAAGTTCTTAACTTATTTTACTAAAGAATTGACAACTTTGTAATTTAGAAATACACATTTGCTTGACACTAAATATTTGCATTTTTAAGACTTTAAGGATTCATATTCTTAAATTCAATGCCTATAAACATTATACAGTAACAGAATGAAAAAGACTTAAGTCCAATAAAAACATTATTCTCAGATTCAGCCTGTGAGTTTGATGTTTATTTTCTAAATAAAATGATTTTTCATCCTTCCGTAAGTTACTATTTATTTTCATTAATGAAAGAGACCTATTAATTAGCTTAATATAATCTTTTCAATACAATATTCAGAAGTCTGGTTCCCAAAAGATGATTTATCTATTTACCATGAAAGTATTGACTAATAAATTATGTAATGTTAAAATTTGTTTCCTAAAAATAGGGTGTAAAGTTTTAAAATGTAAAGTTATTAGTCTAAAGCAATTTAAACAAGGTCTGTTCTTTGGCCTATAATCTATTCTTTATCCGGATTACTGTTCAGAATGTTTTTACTGCAATCTCTGCTAGAGCTCATCTTTTTATTGTGTAAGTCCAAACCCCCTTAATGTTTTAGAAAGGCCTTGACTAACTGAACTTTGATCTGATGTCTTCATTGAGAAAAACACCAGGTTGCCCATTTCAGATGCAAATCCCTCTAAGGCCCAATAGAATTTAGTAAAGACAGCAAAAAAGAAGAAACAAGAAGTTTCCAGGATCCTCTTTGAGAATCCTGGGGCACACTGGTGTCCTTAATCCACACTGCTGCATGGATTAAGGTAGGTGATAACCTTTCCTGATTCAAAAGAATAAGCAGAGTGCCTACAAACTGGGTGGAGACTAGGATTTGGTAATAATAAAACACCATGCAATAAAAGCTTGGTCTATGTCAGAAGCCTCTGAAAAGGCCTCAATGTACCACATTCCCAGGCCTAGTAGGGAAGCTTGCAAAAGCCTACCTGAATCAAATAAGCATGAATAATCTATTTTAGCAGACTGGCCATGGGGAGAGAGAAAGAAAGAGAGACTCCCCTTCTTTTAAGTTTGAGTTAATAAATTTATTAGTGGACTAAAGGTTCTTGAAGTCCTGTGCACTCAGAGAAATATGCTAAATTGTCAAGAAGCAGAGTATGCTTTTTAAGTTGCCGGTCTCTATTAATGTTTCTAATTATAATATTAATGTAATAGAAATCTCAGATTTGGGATGAATCAAGGCAGAAAATCGATTTCATGCTGCGACAGTTTACATATAGATAACATACAATTCATTAAAATGTAAAAATAAATTTGGAAGCTTTTATTACAATTAAGTTAATTTTTTTTTTAGAAATTAAGATGACATATGGCAACCAAAATATTTACAGGTAGACATTAAAAAGTTTATTAACGATGACAAATTTTAATCCTTCACTAAAAAATTGAAATGAAAAATAAATATATTCTTCAAGGAAAAAACAATTTTGAAAGTAATGCCCAAGAAACCCAGCACCAACATATAATCGCAAATTTTTTAAATGCTGCGAAAATCTTTTGAGGCCTAGAATTATAAAACACTTAAAATAATTCCTCTAAAAAAGATAACTAAATGTTTTATATCTAACAATAATGATAATAATAACATTCCAGGAAAAACTGCCAACTCCACACAAAAAGATGCATTTTAAAAAAATCAAACTATCATCAATAACTAGTCAGTTTACTTGGTATAATAAGAACATCTTGCTTCAGTTTTACTTTATGAAAACTTCTATTTCACATTCATAAATTACCCGTTAACTTTGTTAACTGTAGAAGAGAGCAAACTGTCATGGCTCAGTATAAATTTGCTATACTAAAGGAAAATATATGGAAAGGGGAGACTGCTGAGTCCCGCAACTCAAGTATGTTAGAAAGAAACAAAACTTTCAGAGAAAAGCTGTACCACAAATAAACAGTCTAAATAAGACATTTTCTCATGATCACATTTTTTTTCTCAGTATGGCATAACAGAAAGCAAGAACCCAAATGGTTACTAAACCACTTTGAGCCTCAGTTCAATCACTAGAAATCAGAGCTAAAAACAACTATTATTTCACTAGGCTGTTGTGAGAATCTAATGCAATTTGGGCAATGGATATTTTGTAAATTATAAAGCACTATTAAATATTGTCAATTATTATTATTGTGTCATAATCCACTAGTGAATCAGAAGATTCATCACCATTCTTTATAATTATACTGCCTTATTGAAAAATATTTGTTGTCATCTACAGCAGTCCTCAACCTTTTTGGCACCAGGGACCGGTGCTCCTATGAGAATCTAATGCTTGATGATCTGACGTGGAGCTAAGACGATGATGCTAGTACTGGGGAGCGGCTGCAAATACAGATGAAGCTTTGCTCTCTCCCTCGCCGCTCACCTCCTGCTGTGTGGCGCCTGGTCCTAACAGGCCACAGACTGGTATTGGTCCGCAGGCCCGGGGGTTGGGGACCACTGAATTCTACAACATGCGCACATCCTCACAGGGCTGTTCTGGCTGAATCACTAAGGCAGAAAACCAAAGTATATGAGGATTGAACATAATAAAGATCTAATACATAGTCATGAATTACTGGAGCCATTGTAGGCTTTGACTATAGTAGAGCTCTATGATATTAAAAAATTAAGTCTCAGGATGTGCTGCAGGCCAGCAATTCTTAGGGTGAAGAGAGAATAGGGTTGATGATTGGCTAGGAAAGAAGTGGACATGTGCACCTAGAAGAGAAAGTCAAAATCATAGGACGAGGAAGGGTGTTTTTAAAAACTCGATACCACTCCAACTGGAAGAAATGCTGCTTATGCTGCTCTGAGCTATTGCTATTGATTTAGGAATGCATATTCTTATCCTTTTTGGCATTCTTTAAATGGGAAAATGACTACACTCTTAGCACCTCATGACAACTTATATTAAAAGGCATATCTGATAACTGACACAGCTAGTTTTAGACTAGTTGTTTAATCTTTACTCCTAATAGTGTTAACTATATTTTGGCCCATGTGATATATAGAAAACCCATGGTTTTGTTGTTGTTTAAACTGATAATGGCAGAGTAAGGCATGGATTTATAGAGTAGATGATGATGAGTGATTGCCAATGTCTATCAGCCTTGGCAAATCACCCTACATAAAATTTCTGTGACAGGCAAATATACATGCTGGTGACATTTCAAAGAAAAGCAAAGAAGCCAGAAGAGGATTCTACTTTCTAAACTTGACAGAACTCACTTGTAAATACTAGTAAACTTAAGTTTGACCATTGACTGTAAATTCAAAATAAGCTATTATTGCATTTGTATTAATGAATGCAATTTAACTTAGTTTCACATTTAATTAATACAGTATATAATTCATTTGCTCATGTATTCAACAAATAACTACTGAGCACCTACTATATGCCAGTAAAACAAAATAGTCAAAGTCCATCTTTCTCATTGACCTCACATTCTGGTGGAGGAGACAGATGCTATCCTTTCTGCTAGGTGATGATGATAAGGGCCCTGAAGAAAAATAAGGCAGCGAAAGGAGATGAAAGAAAGAGTGGTTTTATTTTAGATGGAGTGACAAGAAAGACATTCCAGATAAAGTGATATTTTAGTGGAGACTTGAAGAAAGTGAGAGAATAAGTCATCTGGGGAAGACCATTGTAAGAAGAGCACAATTTTTAAAACATCCAAGCTGTAAACTTTGAAAACTGAGCACTGGGTTTATGTGTTAATATGTAACCTCTGAGAAGTTTACTCCCATAGATAATCAAAACTGCAGGTACACCTTGCTCTAAAGGGGAGAATGGGATATGTGCTACTACTTATATGTAAAGGGGGCAGGAATAACATCTATAATTATAACATATAAAGAAACAATGAATTATAAGAAACAAAGATCTTTCCAACTTTAAACAGATTTTATAACAAGCAGCAAGAAAAAATGCTTAAATTTTCATTCACTTGCATTTTCACTGATAATTTCACTTGAACGTTAGTAACCAATGAAAAGAACAAAACAGCTGAGATAAAAATAAAGATAAAGGAAATGGAAAACACAAGTGACATATAATGTAAAACTAGTTTGGTATACTGTTTTCACAAAACAGCTACATTTGACTTAGAGCTTATGTTTTTATTAACTCTTTCAGAACATAACAGCAGAAAAATTAGAATACAGTCACTCTTTATAAAAGAGTCACTAGTATGCCCAGGTAAATGACTTGCCAAAACAAAGACATAAAGCTCTTTGCCATTAGGGTTCTCAAGGGCTAGTTATGCATACCTTGTCTGTTTTAACGCTATCACTCAACTCACATTTTCCTAAACAGAATAACTAACTACATTTATTCTGGCCTCTTGAACCCAGTTCTCAGTCACATCCAAGCTAGGCTATGCCTACAACAACTATTAATTACATAGAGCTTCCTTTTATTTTTTAATACAAATTTATGGTATTCTACTGTATACATATACCAATATTTATTTAAGTAGTTGCCTATTGATGGACATTTAGGTTATTTCTAATCATTTGCTATTAAAAATATGCTGCATAAATAGCTCATATATATTTTATTTTATACCTGAGTAAATATATTCACCATGTAAACTTCTGAAAGGATCAAAGGGTATATGTTTTTTTAATTCTGAGAGATAATACTAAATTAACCTTCACAGAAGTTATACCTCCTGAAATTTCCACCAGCAAAGTATGAGAGTACTAGTTTCCCCAACCCTTGCTAATTTAGTGTCTTACCAAACATTTTTAAATTATTGACAACATGATAAGAAAAAATGGCAGGTCAGTGTAGTTTTAATTTTAATTTCACTTACTGTGACTGAAATTGGGCATCTGTTTTTGTATGTTTAAGAGCCACCTGGATTTCTTTTCCATATTTTTGCCCATTTTAAAAATTGGGTTGGTAGATTGTTCCTTATTCATTTTAGAAGTTCTTTATATATGTGGAAATTTATTCTTTATTTTATTATATGAGTTGTAAATATCTTCTCTTCAGTTTGTACTTTATTCACAGTCATTTAAATCACTGCTTAAGAATCATATTATTCAAATAGCTTTCCCATCTAAATTAGAACAATTTACCACTGCTTAATATGTATCTATTACAACATATTTTATATTTGGTTCATATTTGATGCTTAATTAATATCTGCTGACTGAATGAATAAATACATTTGTCATTCACTAAATGTTTATTGAGTATGTGGGCATTGGTAAAGGTGCTAGAGATACAGAGAAAATAGAACAAGTTGTCTACCTTCATAGAGAATTCTGTTTGATGGAGAAGAGAGTTATAATAACAACTATAAGAAAGTGAAAAGCATTAGCAGCAGAAATATAAGCAATTTATGAAAGGCAATTCTCATAGGATGGGTGAATATAGTGTTTTATATACACACAGGGAGGAGACTAAAAGGGTAGGCTTGAATTAAATTGTATAGATGTTGTATACAATCATAAGTTTATATTTCATACTGCAGGCTTATAACAGCAAACAGATTTCATCTCATGTACTACTAACTCTCATTAACTGGTGTGATCCCCCAGAACACTCTACGGAGAATTCTAATATGTCTAAGCTTGATAGGAGGATACTATGACTGATAGTCTGCGATATATTTAGAAAGAAGTAGTGGAAACAGGAAACTGAAGTAGGCATCTGCGGTTAAGCAGTGTTGTAAACCATCTTCTGTCCTTGAGAAAGGTAACACAGATGTCAGTGTGGAAGACTAGAGAAGGGTGGACTTTGGGAATTATGTCTTAATCAGATCAGAATTTCTTTCTCTTTCTACCAGTATGATAATGTCTGGTAGACATTAGAGTGTCCTGAAAACGAATGATACAAACAAACAAATGAAGGAGCTAATGAATGAACAGAGGCTTCACCAGAAGCAGAGTTCATGAGCTTTAGTGGGGCAGATTTACTGACATATTTTGACTTCTCAGAAAAACTTCCCTAACTTTCTCTTAGTCAATCCTAGAAAAGTTAGGTTACCAGATATTTGTGTTTAAAAGAATAATGGTTGAAAATGTATAGGAATAAAAAATAGTTATTGCAAAGAACTACCACTTATTGTGGATATTGAAAGGTAACCATGTTGGTTCGAAATGGTTCGAAATGGTTTTGTTAGTTCATTTAATCTGGCTTGCAATCCTAGAAGAACAAATTGTTCGAAATGGTTTTATTAGTTCATTTAATCTGGCTTGCAACCTCCATAAAAGATTCTATATGGAGATTATGAAAGAAATGAAATAGTCTATTTTAGAAAAAAACAAAAAGAAAGAAAAAACCACCACAATTTGCTTTACTTTTAAGAAATATGTCATCTTGATCAAATCCTCTATAAATGAAATACCTAGTCATTTAAATAAATACACATGGTAGTGCATCTAAAGAATAGCAAGTATGCGATAAGAAATTCTAAAAAATGAAAACAAATACATCTGAAAATTTTAGAAATTGTATGTTGTTGACTTGCCTCCATCTTGGGTAACAACTGGTAACGCCATGCTATTTTCATCTTAATGTTAGATTCTGATGTTTCACGATTATATACACCTTCATCAAATTCTCTTTTACAGTTATCATCAAGTAATGGTGCAGGAAGTTCCTAAGAAGACAGAATGACACATTATTAAGCATGTGTTGTAAAAAATATGATAATTTTCTTAAATAATATTAGCAATACTAGGATTTTCCAACATATGCAAAATCGATGGCTTAAAATTGGTTCAAGCATAAAGTTATGAACAATAGATATCTAAAACAGAAAAGAGATAAACATAATATTAAAAGTACAGTTTAAATTTTTAGCAATGAGCTAGATTTTTTTAAAAATTCAAATTTTTATACTGACTAAAAGCATTGCTATTGCAAAAAGAGGCTGTGCTCATATTTTAAATTTATACACTTAAAGCAAAGTCTAGAATTAGCATTTACGTATTACATGTAATTATTGTTATGTTTGCCACAAGGTAAAAATAAAGCATGTGCGCAATCTGTTTACTGGTTTGTAATTCTAGAATTCAAAAAACTCATTCACCGAAATAATGGGTGAATAAGAACTAAGAATAAAGACATTTATTTTGTCCATATCAAACATTAGTTTTGCACCTGCAAGCTTAGGCCTCTTCTTTTAACAATAAAAACAGAATTTAAAATCTCTGATTAAATGAAGAGAAAATGCATTCCAATTTTACCTTTTCTTTATTGGAAGCTGACCTACTGATTGACTACAAAAACATATGAAAAAGATGTTTTTTTATTAGAAGGTACTACAGAGATAATGCAAAGAAAAAAGTATATGTTTCTTGAAGAAGGAAAACAGGCAATAATACTTTTTATTTGGCACAATCATAAAGATAACATGGGGCATTAGATTGAATATAATTTTGTGCTGTCGTTAACAGTATATATTTCAACTTTTACTTTTCAAGACCAAATTTATTTACGGTCAGAATCATGTCAACTAATCAGGTGGAAAATATGTTAACCATCATATATTTTAGTCACCTCCTGTAAGACCTCGAAATAGATTCACACTTTAATTTATGCCAGTATTAGAAACTAGTTATATCATTTAAGCTCTGAACCCATCATTCCTAGCACAGCATTAGTATCTTATAAAAATGAAATAAGTTCTTTTTCCAATGGAAATAAATATTTGTGAGTATAGTTCAATACAACATAGTGGATATGCATTTGAATTCTGTAACCAGATTGTTTGGTCCAAATGTTGACTATACACACTGGTAGCTTTGTCTATGGTTATGCTGATCACCTATTGGACCTCTCTCTGGCTCCATTTATCATCTGAAAAATGGAGAAAAAAGTATCCACTTCAAAAGATTGTTGTAAGGAAGAAATGAATTAAAAATGTAAAATGCAGAGAGTGGTGTCTGCTTCACACTAAGCACTCAACAGATGTTTGATTATGAGAATTCAGCCAAATAATTGTCTTACCCATTACTCAGAACCCCATATTTCGTATTGTCAATATTAGGCAATATTTAGTATAAATATTTGGATTAACGTTTTTTTTTCAATCTCAGGGACACTTAATAGTTATGACTAAGGTATAAAGTTAAAAAAAATTAAAAAGCCAATCCATCCCACAATAATCATTAACATTAGGTAATCAATATTCCCAGCATATACTTATGTATATACATGGATGTTAGAAAATATATTTCCACAAAAATAGGATATGATAGAATGCTATTAATAATTTTTAAATTAACATTTTACTTTAATTTATAAAAGAAAACAAAAATGAAGTAGAATTGAAAGAATTGTTGACTTGATCAATGATTCTTTACTTCAGGAGACATTATTTCTTAACACACTCTCCTCTAAGGTTAGAAATGTGACTACGAAGCCCATTAAGATGCTGGAGTCACTGTGCTCCTTTTTACCTATTTCAGTTTTCAATAAAACTAATTCCTCTCTCTTTCTCTCCTACAAATAATGAGGAAATTAGCACTTATACACTTTCGCCCACCTCCTCTCTCCCACGTTTAGTTTTTTTCCCCTATTATTCTTTATTGTCTAGGCTCATAGCATTTACATTTATGTCTGCAGTAAGAAACAGAGTTAATTTAGGCTTTTGTTGAAATGAACTTATTTTTCTTTAAAAAAATTTATTTATATTATGGTAACATTGGATAACGAAATCCGGTAAGTTACAGGTGTACAATTCAAGAGTAAAGCATATATATATATTGCATTGTGTGTTCACCACCCATAGATTTCTGTCACCACATATTTGACCCCTTTTTCTCCATCTACCTCCCCAATCCTGCCTCTCCCCTCCCCTCTGGTAACCACTAGTCTATTGTGCATGTCCATGAGTCTCTGTTCGTTTGTTCTGTTTGTTTGTTGCTTTTAGGTTTATATCCCACATATAAGTGATATCATGTGGTTTTCAACTTTTTCTGTCTGGCTTATTTCGTTTAGCATGATTATCTCGATCATTGATCCTCTTACCATCGTTCCATCATTCTTAAATTTCCTTAATTGATAGCTGCACTCATTCAACAGTGTCAGGAAGGTACTATGAATAGAGCAGTGAACAAAAAGTCCTTGCTTTCATGGAGTCATGTTCTAGAGCGGTAGTGATATGAATGAACATAAAGAAAAAAGGGGAAATACAGAGCAATGAAAGGAGGGGCTCCTTTAAATAGGATAGTCAATGAAGCTCTCCTTGAGGAAACAGATTATGTTTTCACATATATTTTTACTCAACTAATGTTTTAGTTGAATATAATATTTTCATTTGCTTAGAACTAAGTAGATATTGCTTTACTGTCTTTGGACAATGAATGATGCTGTGGAGAAGTCAGAATTGTTAGCTAAAATCTCCCTTGTAGATTTGCTTTTTCTGTCTAAATGCCAAATAATCTTCCTTTATCTTTGCAGTTCAATGGACTATATTCATGTGTCCTACTTTGTATTATTTCCTACCTATAAATTAGGTGCCCCTTTAAGTGGAAGTTGTTAATTTCAAGCAAAATTTTTGTCTCATATTTATTTTTCTGTTTCACACTAAAATAGAACATACATTTGTCGATATAAGTATTAGGTATATCATCGACAGTTATAAAATATTGCACAATAAACAATTTAAAATGTTAGATGAAAAAATATGTTTTCCCATCTTCTAGACCAGCACTGACTTACAGAATAATTTGGGATATTGGAAATGTTCTACACCTGTTCTGTCCAATATAGTAGCTACCAACTACTTAAATTTAAATAAACCATTTTCCGCAATGCAATTATATTCTCATTTGCTTTTCAAATCTCTTTTCTCTAACTTCACTGTGACTGTCACAAGCTTGTTCCTTGCTGTTACTATATTGGGTAATGACATTAAGTCAACGTGTATTTTTAATCTTACAATTATCCTTTTAAAAAAATCTATTTCTCATGTTTTCTCATTTTATTTTTAATATTATTTTACTGAACTCATGTTAATAAATCTCTTATGGAAGAATTTCGTTCTCTTGAGTTTTATTCCAGATTGAGTTTTTTCCTAGCTAAAGTTTGAAGGCTAAGTATTTTCATATCTACCCATTTTTCTGTACTTTCTGGTTATGACAGCTTAGGCAGAGGTATATGCCATATTTTTTTAGAAAACCTAGGTTCTTTATTTTCTTATAAGATTTCATTAAATGTTAGCTTCCTGTGTTCATAGCACTTGGTTTAGTATTTTATTCCCATTTGGAAGATGGTGGATTATATACCCAATTCATTGTTGCTTTTTGAAACGTTTGCTTTAGTTTGAGATCATCAGCCCTAATTATCTCTTGAGATTATGCTAATTCATTGATTTCTGGGTAAGAGAGTGAAGTCAAGAACTGCACTGAATGGTGACTTTTGTTTGGCCATGGACTTTATAAATTTATGGCATTCGGTTGGGCTCTGACTTTTCTTGTTCTCTTTGGTACAGCTGAAATTTTGGAGTATTTTAAATTATTTTTTTGTTTGATAATGTAGGAGAGTCCATGGTACAAATTCAGTACCCTGATATCTTAACTCCCAATCTCCATATTCAATAATTCTTAAGTGATCTTTAGGAAGATTACTAACACAGAGAATAGGGGAATAAATACTCATAACCTTGCCATAAGAACTAATTGAACTATTGAGAACATTTCAAACATATTAAAACCTGTCTTCTTATATATATTGGTTGATAGCTATCATTCCCCCTCTAAATTATATCTACAAATTATTTTAAAGTAAATTATCTTCAATTATTGGCTCTCAATTATTTTCCTGCCTTTATATAGTCACACAGATAATATTAATATTTTTTATTGCTTTGTGGGGAGAAAAGATAAACCTTACGGAATGTCAAAAGAATTTTGGAGATTCTGATATTTTTAACTCTCCTGATCCACAGCCCTATCTTCAGGGTAAAAAATCACTAATTTTATTTCTGAAATGAGGAAGTAAATAAACATTGAAATAAGATATCATAAAAACTTAAATTTGATATTTATAGTTAGCTTGCTGAATCTATTTCCACATGTAATTGTCTAAAATTTGTTTTTTCTCAATTGTCTTTTTCCACATAAAGAAATCTAGATATCAAAAACATTTTGTGATCTGAATTAGTTTTATTAATCTGTTATAAAGACAAATCAGCATTATTTACAAAACCACTGGTCCAGAATTTTGCTATTCAATATAGTAGCCCTTATCAACACGTGACTATTTAAATTTAAGTTTATGTTAATTAAAATTAAACAAAATGATAAATTCAGTGCCTCAACTGTACTAGCCACATTTCAAGTGCTCAGTAGCCACATGCGGTTAATGGACACTCTATTAGGCAGTGAAGGAAGAAGATATTTTTGATATCTATTAGTCATCGCTAGTCTAGAAAATGAAATAAGTATTTATTTATTCATCTAACAATTTAAATTGTTTACTCTGTGACATTTTAATACTGTCAGTGATACACTTTATACTTATATCAACCAGGATATTGAGAAGCATCACAACTTAATTGTTTAAAATTAAAATCAGGAGATTATTTTATTTTTCAGTACCTAAAAAGGTACTGCACCTTGTCATCCCCCCTTTCCCCCTGACTCATGCACA